AGTGGTTAAGTTAACCCCTAAGAGTTTTCTTTCTTTTCTCTTTTCCAATCTGTGTATCATGCTTCTTTTGAGAACTTCTAGTACAACGTTCAAAGGAGTGGTGGGAAGGGGCTTCCTTGCCTGTTCCTGATGTTATAGGGGAAGCTTAGGTTTTTTTGCCACAAAGATGATACTAGCTATAATTGTTTTGTAGGACTTTATCAAACTGAGGAGGTTCCTCTCCAGTCCTACTTTATTGAGTGTTTTTATCATCAGTGCATGCTGAATTATGTCAAATGCTTTCTCAGAATTGATTGTGATCACATGACTTTTCTTCCTTTGGCTATTGATATGCTGGCTTAATTGACTAACAAAGGCTGAGCTGGTCTTGCACAGCTGGGACAAACCTCTCTTGGTCACAGTATATAAGTCTTTTTATACATCAGAGGATTCAGTTTGCTATTATTTTGATGAGAGTTTTTGCGTTATGTTCAAGAAAGAAATTAATTTATCTTTTAATTTATCTTTTTTCTTGTAACTTTTTTTTTTTTTTTTGGTGTTGAGAGCATGATAGAAATGAGTTAGAAAGTATTTCCTGCTTCTATCTTAACAAACAGATTACAAAGAGTTGATATAATTTCTTCCATGAATTAACCATGTAGAATGACCCACAGGCCCATGTGTGGGTGAAAGAAAATCTTTCCTGTCACCAAAGATAAGTTCTACCCAGCGTCTGGCCTCTAGCTCCAACACCTCCACCGACAAGCCCTCAGCCTTCACATCATTTGACCAGAAACAAGCTGTGAAGGAACTCAGACCACCTTTATCAGTTCAAATTATGGAAAAATATTTCCAGTCATAAGCCCAAATTTTGAAGACCTACAGGCATGAGGTTCTAGCTGTAACCAAGGGGACGCTATGAGCAAGTATTACCCCTCTGTACTTCTCTCCCAGGAAGTCCAGAGAGAGATTTTGTCTACATTGAAAAGATTTGCCTACATTGTTATCCTGGCATAATTCTGGCATATTTACCCTCAAAATCTGAATAAATCACTACATAGTGAGTATCCAGGACAGACCTCAAAAATATGAAAACTGCACATTTCTATCAAGTTAAAAGCCTTCATTTTTCGGTTTTGATGAGTCTGAGAGCCTTCACCAGCCTCATCATTCCTGCTTTTTAGCATGAGTCCTGTGCTTCCTTTTTTTTTTTTTTTTAAGATTTATTTATTTATACAAGCACTGGGTACAGTCAGAAGCGCAGGAGGGTGAGAGAATTCACCAGAGCCAGAGAGGGGAACAGAACAGGCAGACTGATGAAATACACTGCTGAGGGGAGCTGCGGGTGTGGCAGGAGAGGTCTGTAGGCCATGTGGGACCCTCGCCGGCGGCCGGGGATCAAACCAGTGCTGTAGAGGCTGCAGGCAGCTTCGCAGCTCAGCGCTCAAATCGCTGCACCACCAGGGGAGGCCAGAGTCCTGTGCTTCTTAATTGTTATATGTGTCAGTGAAGGACTCTGTAACCTCAAAGAGCAGAAAGTCACTTATTTCCCTTCAAATCCTAGGCTTAGACACCACCATGAAGCACTGTCCCCTGGTGTAGGGTCAGGAATGGACACAGTGCAGGTTTTCTATGATCCAGCAGACCGGGTAAAGGAGGAGACAGAGCCCTCAGAGGTTTTTTTGCAGGTCTTTTAAAATTGGGATTTACCAGGTACACGGCAGGCGGGGGTGCTGGGGGGGTGCTGGCAGGCCTCCCAGCCCCCAGCAAGTCTTCACTCTATCTGGGCTCTCCGGCATTCTCTGCTTCTCTCTTGGCTTCTGCTACTTCTTTCTCGGCTTCTCTTTTGGCTTCTGCTGCTGCTGGCATCCCCATGACGCTGCCCTTAAAAGTCCAGTCTCTCAGCCCAGATGTACCCACTCCAGGTGCCCGCCATCAGGCATGCATTCAGGACCACAGGGTTCCCTCATCTATCCTAATGGCGGGAGGGCAGAAAAGCCTGATACCTTTTTCCTTACATTACACCTGGATAAGACTCCACTGAGGGGCTGGCTCCATGGTACTGGTGGCAGCGTCACCTTACACCAGCAGGTGTCACTCTAGAGATGATATATTCAACATATTTTCTGAGTGTCAGGCATTATTCCGGGTACTGAGAACAGTGGTGGGCAAGAAAGGCATGCTTTTGCGCTCAGAAAGCTTGCAGTCTGGATATTAATAAGTCTGCTTTATTTGCTTTCTATACAATAAAGTTTGTAAAATCCCATTCCTGGGGGAAATTAATATTAAGTTAATAGATAAAACACTCAAACTAAACTTATACAGAACAAGTACTGCAATAAAACATACAATCAAGATAGAGCCTCAATTAATGCATCTTCATATTGTCTGCCCTTTTAAATGCAATTTTTACAAACTTCAAGCTTCTAAAAATTCAAATTTTAGGTATTCCTAAGTACCATGGAAAAGAATTTGTCTTTAAAAAAAATTTCATTTAAAAAAAAATCCACCTATTCGTGTTTTCACAAAGTAGGCACTATGTCATAAATTTTAAGATTTGCAGGGCCTCCCCCGGTGGCGCAGGCGGTTGAGCGCTGTGCTGTGAAGCTGTCCGCAGCCTCTGTAGCGCCGGTTTGATCCCAGGCCGGCAGGCAAGGGTCCCACGTGGCGTAGCAGACCTCTTCTGCCGCACCCGGTGCTCCCCTCAGCAGTGTACTTCGTCAGTCTGCCTGTTCTGTTCCCCTACTTTGGCTCTGGTGAATCCTCTCAACCTCCCACGCTTCTGACTATACCCAGTGCTTATATAAATAAATAAATAAATCTTTAAAAAAAATTAAGATTTGCAGAGCTTATAAATTCCCAAATATACTTAGCAATCTCTACTTAGAAAAAATTAAAATGTCACCTTCTAAACACCAAACACACTTTCCCAGGTTAAAAAAGTGAAAACAGTAATGAATTATGCCTCAGCACAGAACTGAGAAATTCTCCCACTATCGAAAGTCCTTGTTGGGATAAACCTATGAGACTCATTGCTATTACCAGGATTTCAAGGTGACTTACCCATAATTAGAGCATAGCAATGAAAGGTCACACTTTGTCAAAAGTAACAGATCTGAGAGAGAGCGGAGGCACAGTAAACCACAAAAAGTGTATCTGCCTGCACAGAAATCCAAGAGCCTGGGAACTATTCTTATTTTGCTTCTATTTACACTCAAATGAAAATTCTCCCAAACTGCAAAGCTAGGAAAACATGGTTACGAGAATATTTTAGGCTCCAACATCCAACTGACTGAAATACTTCAAGTTCAAATTTCAGCCATGGGAATAAAAATTTAGTAAGATTCAGACAGCTGTACATAATATCAAATTCACAGCTCCCTTTGAAATTCCTCAAACTAGTAGTTACTGCTGGGGTAAGAGGGGTGATCTCCCTATACCTTTCCAGGTGGAATAATCAAATTAACATGAGACAAATTTGTGGCGGAAAAAAACAACAAATTTAATTACAATACGTACAGAGAATCTGCATACATGTTAGGGTTCAATTTTTTTTGAGTTTATTTATTCTAGCATAGAACTGGGGTACAGGCCAGAGGTGTGGGGAGTGAGAGGATGCACCAGAAATAGAATGGGGAGCAGAACAGACAGATCTACTGAAATCCACTGCTGAGGGGAGCAGCAGGGAGACAGGAGAGGTCTGCTGCGCCATGTAAGTCAGCTCCCTGGCTGGGGATCAAACTCAGGCTCAAGAGGTGCTAATGCTGAGACTTAACCAATAGGCCACCAGGGAGGCCCACTTGTTAGGGTTCTAAAAACAGTGAGGCCAAAGGGGGTATACACCCTCAGCTAAGGAATGGGCCAGGATGGGGACCGGGGCCTCACGGAGATAGGAGATGCATGTGTCGGTTTCTGATAATAACTCTAAATCTGGGTTAGGCCCCCAATTTTCATTCTTTTAAGTAGTTAAGGTATTGGTAAGAGTTTCTATGAGCATGTAAGGCCTCAACTCATTTCAGCTGGAAATAATCCACCTGCCAAAGTGATAGCTCTGGGGGAGCCTCTCTTTGCTGTCTAAATAGGCTGATATACACCGTGTGTTAGTCAATTTTAGGATGGAATCATCTTTTAGAACAGCCATACTCTGTGAACATTAAGTTATAAAAAAAAAAAAAAAAACACTAAGGTGAAGCTTCCTCAATTGGTTACTGGTTAATAAAAAAAGGTGTAAAATAACTTATGCCTTAAAATTAAAGAAGGCTTTTACTTTGAATGATTAACTGGTATTTGATAAAAATGGATTCAAAACAGTTTGTTATGTGTGGTTTTAAAATTACACTTGGCCCAGTAAAATAAATGTTCGGCACACCTAAGATGTCATCAATTGGAGGGACTTGATGGAAGGCTTCTGTTATCCAGTAGTTTTACTCCGCGCGTGCATGGGTGTGTGCGTGTGTGTGTTGCACAAAGCATTACTTCTGGAGTCACAAACATCTAAATTCCAATGCTAGCCTAACTAAACAAGCTAAGTGATTTCTGGGCAAATGACTTCACCTATCCTGAACATTGCTTTCTGACCAAAACACACAGCAGGTCTGGAAGGACTCTGGAAGGTGCTGGATATAAAATGCCAACCACAGGGTGCCCAGCACACGCCACTCTTGGTGAGCACCATTTCTCTTTCTGACCACCAGACTGACAGCACCAGCTAATCCTGAGACCCAAGCTCCATGCACATGACCCAACACAAAGTACATCTTCACTGCCAACACAAGTCCCTTCCCGGCTGAATGCCAACAAATGTGCATCTTCTCCTTTAGCTCGAATATATTTTGCATGACCTTACATGAATTGCTTAGATAAAAGCTTTTTCTCTTCTGCTTTTGTTATTATAAAGTACAGATGCATTTGAGTCATTTTCTCCTTTTGTTTCATATCCTTAAGATCCAAAGCTTCAAAGACATAATGTCAGCATGCAGTCGATTGATGCCTGAACTCTTGAAGAGATACTGAAGAATTACCTTGTCGATCACCCCAAGGACTCTGAAGGCCTTCAGCTCCTCGGCAGGGCTCCTTAGGATCCAAGGGGGCCTTGAACTTAGTGGTCCTGGGGGCTAATGGAAGATATCAAAGATCATACATCAATCAGGGAGGCACTTGAAGGAAGACTGCCTGCTGAAGCAAGTGCCAGGCCAAAGGAAACTAAATTTATCATAAATCAGAGAATGGAAAGATGAAAGGAGGAGTTCCTGTTTGTTAGGTAAAAGTCAAAAAAAAAAAATTAAAAAATAAAGAAAATCAAAAAGGTGAGAAAAAAGTTACAAGTAAATAAATTCTAACATTGAAAACACAATTTTTAAAAAGAAAAATTAATGAGGTGATATTTCTAAAGCAATAATTCAATTCATAACTGTACAGCTATAATGAAGCTTTGTAATAAACTAGTAACAGCCAATAATCAATCACACCCTTATAGTCCAGATGGCTCAAGCATCACTTAGAAGAAAGGACTAGAAAAAATGCAAAAATAGATAAACTTTGGGTAGAGGAACATAAGTCATTTTTCTCTTATCATGAAACTACAGTTTCTTAATGTGACTTCATAAATATATGCTCTGCTATTTTAAGAGGTGGGTAAATTGAAGAAAAACTACCAATAATGGTGAAAAATGTAAAAAGTCCATCATCATATAACTCATAGCTATTAGAACTGAGGCTATTTAAGCCTAGAAAAGAGATGATTTACAGGAGAAAATTTTGTTTTCAAGTATTTGACCTTCTGTGATGTCAAAAGTTAAGTGTGTTAGCTTCAAAAACACCCACAACAGAAACCAATGAATATAGAGGTATTTCAGCTCCACACATAATGAGTGAATAACCCTAACTAGTCACTCCCTGTGGGTCTCTGTTCTTCCCATCCGTCAAGCAGGACTCTAAAGTCCCCAAAACCATTTACAACCAGAAAGCAAACTATACTAATCGTTATGTTAAAATGCTGAAGCTACAGAGAATGACAGCAGAGAGAAAATCTCATTCTACCCTCACAGCAGGCTGACAACTGTCACAACATGGACAACACATGGGAACAAGCAGGAAAGGAAGATCCTGGTTGATCAAACATCAGGATCCAACTAGACAGGAAGTGCCCTGAAAACAGGAAAGGTGTCTTATTTGTTCCATACTCATAGTGTCTAGCAGGTTAGTGGGTGGAGAGAGTGAGAGTGGAAAAGGAAGCAGAAGAGAGGAGGGGGCAGGAAGAGGCTACTGCATCCATAAATCAGCCACAACTGGGAACTCCATCCCTAGTGAAATTTCCTAAAAGCAGCAACTTACAAAAAGTCATGACTATAAGCCCCACTGAACAGGTAAACACAGGCAAGTTCAGAATGTTTGAGTTTCTGTGGTCAGACCAATGGGAAGATGCTGGACTTGACCCCAGCCTCAGCCTAGTGCTCAGTCTTCCTATCACACAACACCCTGACCACCAACAGTTCCCACCCCTGCTCCATTATCAAAGAAATGAAGAACTGCTGTGATCTGGGTAACAGGAGTGTTGAACTGAAGGGATGGGGGATGGCGGTAGTTTTTAAAATAATAGTCTATCCCTTATGTTGATCTTTGGAAATATGGCCAAATGCCTCTGGTACCCTTATGTTCGGCTTACACCTCCTATTTCCAGGTGTCTTTGGAGCTTTCCATTTCCAAAGAAAGTCACTGGCTCACTTTAACAACCTCAAGAGCAAAGACAGCGAACTACAAAACCCCTCTGCACCTCTCAGTAAGTAACTTCTGCTTGCCCTCCATGCACATGATAATGGAGCAGGATGTAAACCCTAAGAGCACAGTCCCCAGCTTCCAGATGCTCACCATTTGAGGAGATAACCTTACATGAAATTTAAATACCCACACAACTTTATGTTTTAAATATAAGATATACAGGTCCTAATTAATGTAAGACAAATGGTGGTCTCAAAAAGAAGTGATTTTAAGTGCTGTGTAGAAATTAGGTTAGGAAATGGGTCTCACACAGGAGTTAAGGGAAATGGCCTGGGGAGGGACCATGTTCAAACTGGAGAAGGGAGGAAAAGGGGGTGACATCCAAAGGTGGGTGGGCTTCCACCAGCCTCAAATGCCAGAGAGAAGTCTGGGCTGTGATTCCCGGCATCTAGACAACAAGCTTTTGCCCAAGAAACAACCCAATGAAAATGGTGACTTAATAAGGTTACTTTTGCAAAGACAGGGATGGTGAAATTGTAATGGGGGAAAACCAAAGGCAAAGTGATCATTAAAGTTCTCTTTCTACTGTAACCATCTATAAAAGTTTCAGATCAGAGAACTGAACAAAGAAAGATCATGAAACAAAATCATCAATAAAAAAAATCCTGTATCTCTTATACAGTGTTTAAAACTGGGTAGAATCCCTATAGATCTATTCCTTTTTTCAGGTGGCAAAAAGAAACATAAATCCACAGAATTTTAAGAACAGAAAGAGACAGAGATCAAGTCCAACATTCTCTTTTTGTATTTTTTTTTTCAGATGAGAAAACTGAGAAGCAGGAAGGCTAAGCGATTTGTATTAGGTAACAGAGAAGAGGGGGTAAAATCTTACTTAAAAACTAATGCAACATCTCTGGGGAAATGTATTTTAAGGAAACACTCGGATTTCCTTAATGACAAACTTACTTGGTTACTAGCTGCAGCTGCCACCTGAAGAAGCAAGGGGGAAGGCAGTCACCTCCACCACACCACGTGCAGGCCCAGAGTGGCCAGAGGCGAACACAGTCCAGGACCTGAAGGTCTGCGGGAGTGCGCAGGCCCAGGGCAAACCTTCCGTGGAGTGCACACTCGGCCTCCAGGCCTGTCCCGAGCTCCACACCGCTCCGGAGGACGACAGGGGACTAGTGAGATCTCCTGACACCTCTGGCTCGGTGATGCTCACCGTGTCAGGCTTTCTCTGCAAGCTCAGTCTGTCTCACCTGAGTTTCGGCACCAAGCTCAGCACCCACCACAGCGCACACGCACACCACCTAGCTCAAACGCACTTCGGTCCCAGCCTGCTCGCGAGCTCAGGGAGTTAAGACTGCGTTTCCAAGAAGCTCCCAGTCCACCACCAACCACAGCAGGAGTGGGGTTACTGCTCCTCCTTACGACCCCCGGAGCCTCAGCACTGGGGGGACGACAAGCTCTCCGAGCCCTGCCAGCGAATTGCCCTCGGGTGTCTGCGCTTCACCTCAGCCGCAGCTTTCAGCTCTGTCCAGACTTCCGCTGGCATCCTCTTCCCCCTTGACACCAGACGCCAGGCCTCTCCCAGGCTGCACTGGGCACGACTCTTCACCACAGCCCCATTACCGACTCAGAACACCCCCACCGCGCCCTCAGTTAGCCAATGTCACACTAAGGATGACACAATACTTTCTGTAAAAGTATTTTAAAACATTCTATAGGGCCTCCCCTGTGGCACGGCGGCTGAGCGATGGCTTGCGAAGATGCCCGCTGCCTCTGCAGCGCCGATTCGATCCCCGGCCACCGGGCAAGGGTCCCACATGGCAAGCAGACATCTCCTGCTGCCCGCTGCTCCCCTCAACAGTATATTTCGTCACTCTGCCTGTTCTGCTCTCTGCTCTGGCTCTGGTGAATCCTCTCACCCTCCCGCGCTTCTGACTGTGCTTGTATAAATAAATAAATAAATCTTTTAAAAAAAATTCTATAAAAGAACTGAGAAATGCCATAATTCTAACCAAAAAAATGCACAATGCAAAAAGATTTTCAATATTGCGATAGCAATTTTACTCAAAATGCACAAATATTGAGGAGAAGCCTATTTTCATTCACATCTTAATTGCACAATATTCATACTTTAGAAACCACACAATCTTTCATGTCCTAAACTGAGACCACTGAATGTCTTTCTAAATTCCACTGATCTTGCATTATAATATCTAAAGCTAAAAATAGCAAAAGGCTATCTATTCTCATTCTTTTTAAGGGAAATACCCTTTTTAAATCAAAGTCATCCACAATTAAAAAGGAAAAAATAAATAAAAACCTGCCTCCTTCAGTTAAGACTTCATCTCTACTTCAAACAACACTCATTTTCTTTTTTTCTGAAACCTCCTCCTTAAATTTTCTTGCCTTTTAGTAATGAATAAAGAAAAACAGAGTAAGGGGATGTCTTTGCTCTTTTCTGTCCTTTTGTGAAAAGGTGTAACTGGTCAATGACTGGGAAACTCAGTACTTTAATAGTCACCGTAAGTCTCATAAACAAATTCAATTAAAACAAAAGCTTAACCCATCACAGAAAATTTGGGTGGCAGGACCCAGACTCAGACTGCACCACATGGAAAACAGAAACCACAGAAACATGTAAAGCCAGAAAGGATGCCTTAATTTTCTCAGCCAGGCTAGAAAGGGGGGCTTACACATGGATTCAAGAGAGAAACAGCAGCAGGTCTGCACAGAATTCAAGAGCTAGCCTTAGAAATCACGTGTGCCAACCCTTCTCCTATGTGGTTGGAACAGATGCCCAAAGACAGCTGAAGTGAAATACTGGACCTGCCAGACTAATCAAGAACTTCTAGAAGACATTTTAGTTAAATTACAGATAAGAAAACAATTAGGCAGGCTGCCAGTATAAATAAAGGCCAGGTTTAATAGAATAAAAGACAAAGGTGAAAATAAAAGACAAGTGCTTATCATAAGAAAAACCTTGCTCTAGCAAACACCTCCAACCTCCTGAACAGAGACCTGGAAAGCACTAGCACAGCAGACCCAGTTCACTGGGTCCTCAAACCCTCTGACACAAGCGCCCACCATGCTACGTGGCTCTCGCTCTTCTACTTTTATTTCAGTTACGCATATAGTTTGAGTCCTCAATTAGGCTGGATGGTCTGCAAAAGCAGAGACCAATCATCATCTCTGGTGTGACTCCAAAGAGAGCTGGTGTGGTGCTATGTACAGAGTATGCGCAGATATCCAGTGTGTATGATCCAATATGGTCAGCTTTCATATATTCTAGTTTTTATTTTATTTTCATTAGAAGGGAAATTCTGACTATATACCTCACAGTTCCTTTCTCCAAGTCAGAAGCTCTACTAGAGGTTGTATGTGTGTATTTGCCAAAAAGGCCACATGCTCCAGAGAACTGACTGGAGAAGCATATACAGGGAGTTGGAATGGATAAGGATAAGCAGACGGCTGACAGGTAACATTAGTGGAAAGAATGGAATGTTGGTTATTTGGCCTCCCTATACTTTTTAGAATATCTATACACATGATGGATTTAGTGAAACAAGTTCCCAGGGGCCCATCCTATGTAACAGTTTAATCAATGTCCCCCAAAATGGAGTTGAGAGCCATCAGGAGCATGCACAGGGAGGGTGCTGACCCTATGGGAAGTGTGTAGTATATTCCAGAGCACCTTTAGATAAACATCCCACTGAAAAAAAGATAAAATTCAACAGTGAAATGTTAAGGGAAATAACTGTATTTAAACAACAGAAAACAGGAAAAGATTAGCAAACAGAATACAGAAAGAAGAGGTCCGCTAACTCACGATCTGAAAACTGATTTTTGAAAGGCCACAGAAAATGAAAGGAACTTAAAAAATCAGCAACAAAAAGCTTACATGTGCCAATGAATCAAAATCAGATTGTTTTTAAATTTAAAAAAAATTGACATACATTTTCAAAACATAGAAATCATAAAAATGTAGAAAGCATAGAAAGCTGTGTATGAGGGAGAGATGATAACAGGAACTCTGTTATCAGCGTGGCTGACAACTGGCTAGTCGTCGTATCGAGGGAGGCACTGGATGTGTCTGTGTCCACACATGAGAACTGTCCTTAAACTCGTTTAATCTTAGAACAGCCCAGCAGAAGTTACTATCTCCCTCATTCCTCAGAGGCAGACACTGAGCTGAGTAGTAATATTAAGTATCTTCCCAGCCTTGTCCAGCCTTGCCCAGCCTTCTATGCTTTCAAGCAGCAAAGTTGGGAAAAGGACAAGCTTTCCAGTTCTTAGATCAATTAAGAATATAAATACTTGACCCCACCCCTGGAGGACAGGATTCTTACATCACCTCAGAAAAACTTGGTTTGACATAAAGGGAAAAAAAAAAAAAAACACAATTGAAAGTTCCCTCCAAAACCTTGCTAAGTCCAGAAACAGAATGTAAAACGATAAAAACCACACTTTCCTGTTTTTAGCTGTCACCTGCCTTTTTCTTTCACCTGCGCTTTAGAAGAGAGTAGAGGTCTCCTCAACTAACCTCCACCGCCTGGAGCATTAACCCTTTACAATTTAAGGGGACCTACACCACTTACTTGCAGGACTGATGCTTGAAATAATTTTAGCATGAACCAAGAGAAAGGGAGCAGAACAGAACCAGGATCATGTAACCTTAAAAAATAGAGCTATCTTGACAGCCCAAATTACTGTCATTCTACAACAGAAGGCCAGAAGTGTAAGGAACCAAGGGCTGAAACAGAGAAGGCAAGTTTCATGCTACTCCACTGGTGACCATCTGCCGTAATGGCTTTCTTTCCACCAGTGACTCTTAACAAATTTGAGAATTTGGGTCTCTAGATTTTTACCAAACATAGAAGTCAGGTCGAGAGTCAAGAGAGCAAAAATGGCTACAGAGATGGAACCAGACGCACCTGCGCTGAGGCGTCCAGGCAAGGCTTCCCGCGCAGGCCCGACAGACTCTCTGCCCGCATGAGGTACTCAGCCGTTCTCCTCTTGACGGCTTCTCGCCGGGTGGGGCTCGACTCTCCTAAGAGGAAAGGACAACATCTGGACACATGAAAATAAACTTTCTTTGACCCCCATAACTTCCTCCTGCCCACTCTACCACTTGTTCCCATTTCCTGAAGAGATATTCAAAACTGGAACAGATACCAAAGTTGTTCACCTCATTTACCCAAATTCTGAAATTCTCTCATTTAAATCTGAATAGAAACTTGCTATAGGTAGAGCCAGCAAGGCACAGAGCAGGTTCTCGATGATCCAAGCAGACGGTAAAGGAGAGTCCTGGAGCCCTTGGTGGCTTCTCAGGCTTTTATTGAACTTTTTACACCATTTGCAGTGCAGCACCCAGGCACACAGCAGGCCAGGGGACCGGGAGGGCTGGCAGAAGTCCCAGCCCCCAGCGAATCTTCACCCTTTCTGGGTCCCCTGGCATTCTTTTCTCTGCTTCTCTGCTGCTGTTTCTGTTGCCGTTGCTCTTGCTGGCATCCCCATGACACTGCCTTTATAGGCCCAGCCTCTCAGCCCAGGTGTGCCCACTTACACACACCCTCGCCCTACTCCAGGTGCTGCCATCAGTCACGCATGCAAGCCCACAGGTGTCCATCATTAATACTAATGGCAAGAGGTTGGAAAATCCTGACAATTTTCATTTACCCTACACTGCATTTTGTATTTATATCTCAGTAAATAGTATAGTCCTAGTGTATATTTAAAAATATTGATCACACAGGAGGAGTCCCCAATGTAAGAAATGTAAGAAATGGCGCAGAAAGCTCTGGAAACAACACCAGCGAGGGCACAGTAGCGTCCAGCCCAATAGGATGAGACGCAGCCGCCGTTTACAGGGGCTGTGATGGGCTGGCAAAGCCCTGCCAGCTGGATAGGAAAGTTAGGCTCGCTACTCTGGACTCACCGACTTTTGTCAACTGCACGCTTTTTTGATTAGCAACAAACCAGCAAGCACATTACAACCGAAAGCAAGAACGTTCTCGAAAGCCATGAAATAGACGATCACATGCCAGTGCACAAGTCACACATCCTGTCTGCCCCCGGTTCCCCTAGGGGTTTGAGGTGGCCTCCAAGAATGCTGCCCACAGAGTGGCAGCCTTGCTCTCCAGAGTGGGTGGCCTTGGCTTTAGCCCTTCACATACTTGATACAAAGGATGTCATCTCATAAAGGCTCTGTAACAGGGTGGTCCCCAGGAAAGGGGGAGGTTCCAGGTTCCCTGCCCTACCCAAGGGAGGGTGGAGCTACAGAGAAGAGAAGATGCTGCAGGAGGGACCGAGGAAGAAAGGAAACAGGATGGAGAGCTAGAAGGAGACCTGGACGAGGCACATGTAGCCGAGAGACACATGAAGAAAGTGCACTTGCCTTCAGGCCATGGACTGGGTGACAGAGATGTGGATGAGAGGCCAGTGGGGAGGATCACAATGGCAGCTTTCACCTTGATTTTGATTTTGGTCTTTTGCTCCCAGACTTGTCTGGTTGTTTCTGACCCTTTTCTGTGGGTCCCCACTGGAAGGTGCTTTAGACTTGTGGCAGGCTTTGGGGCCTTGCTCTGGGCCAAGCCTGCTTGGGTGGACTTTTACCCACGAGGGGATGGGTAACTTTGGGTGCTTGATTTAGAAACTATATTCTTTGCCTTTCCTGTATTGTTTACTAATTGTATTAAAGTTCCTTTTCATTAAAGTCATGTTTTGTGTTGATGCGGTGGATGGCAGAAACTACTTAGAGCAGGCAGGTTTGCGGGGTCTGGGGAGCCCCTCTCCCTGCCCTGTAACAGCTCAATGGCTGAAGTCAAAGGCTCGAAAGCCTCTGAGCACCGAGATGGCTCAGCTCCTTCCATAGCTGGAGCTCTGTGCCACGCGCAGCTGCTCAGCTCACCGGTGCTCCACACTCCCCCTCTGAGTGACGTTCAAGCCATGCCACAGCATGGACGCTGCCCTGGTCCACACCCACAAACCCCGGGTTCTGGCTCAGCCGCGCACTGGTCATGTGGCCAGTAAGCCAACCCCGCTTCCGGACATCCTCCTCACACCTCAGGTGACCCAGTCACATAGGGGGTGCCTCGCTTTCCTTCTTGGTTTTTCCCTCAAAACCAAACCCTACCCGCAGTGCTGCTGGCTTGCTGAATGCAATGAAGTGAGTGACAGTCAGGCAGACGTGCTCCGCCAAAGGCCACAGGGAACCACCTTGGATGGTCTGTCCAGCATCACTCTACTCCACCGCTTTGACAACAGCTGGAACAAGAGGCAGGGTCCACCAGCACCCTCAGCCCCTCCAGTGCATAAAAACCCAACTGGGGAGAAGGGACCCAACAGAGAGAATCAGAAATGTTTAATTTTTGTTCTTAATCTGTCTGGATAAAATCTGTGAAAATATATTTTGAAAACAAAATGTGCCACATCAGTAAGAAACATAAAAAAGAGAAAGGACAGGTGATTGGGTACCTGCTGGGGGCGGGGGGTGAGGGGTGGAGGGGGCAGGGGGGGCGGAAGGGAGGGAAGGAGTGGGGAGTCACATGTCGCCAGCGGGCCTGAGGTCATGCAGATGCAATGTGCCCCGTACAGACCTGGCCACCGGCCTCTCAGAAAAACCCCAACAAAGCTGGGGGTGTGCTTTTGCTGAATAACTTGCCTGCATAGCTTTACCATTACTATCCCACCCCTTCTCTCCTTGACTGGAGAAGACTGGCGAACCCTGGAGAACATTGGAGAAGATTGCTTGCTGACTGAGGAACAACCTGTATTTGTTAACACTGCAACGCCTCAAATTTAATTAAGTATCTCTGCGCTTCCTGTCCTTGATTTACTTCATTTCTAAACCCAAGGTTTTTGTTCTTACTGTCTGGATTAAATTTGTGAAAATATATTTTGCAGACAAAATGTGCCTCATCAGTAAGGTAACAGTCGCTATTCTATACCCCACTGGCCCTGCAGTTCTGAGTTGACTGCTGATGGCCCCTAACAGCATTTCCCATTATCATACCCACATCGGGTTTTGCCTTTCAAGCCCTAATTTAAATCCTCATCAACAAGTTTTGGTGCAGCTTAGGCTCAACTCTTAATAAACCTGTGATAATTTAGATTTTCAATTCAGTGCGATTAAGTTTTAATAAAACTTCAAAATGTGTTCTATCCTAAAAAATGAACTTGCCTCCCAAAATAATTTGAAATTCAAAATGCGAAGATCATGAAACAGTTAATTACAGCTGGAGTTAAAATCATATTTTGTAAGCAAATGATGGTTTTTAAACTTTCGGTACTTCTGCCCCTTTCCAGTCTCCATAGTAACAGAGCAACAAGAACCGAAGCCAGCCGTTGAAATGGACTCCTGCTGATGATAGTGGTTCCGCTTCCATGGAAACAACAATGAAGTGATGGAAATTCTGGAAATCTTTTTAATTGTAACCTTAAATATCCATACTATGGCTCCTGCCTTATCAGGCCCTTAAAAGTAGGTCACAACCATGGCTGATCGATAATAGTAACCATGGATGAAAACCACCTTTTGCAGATTTTTGCTGCTGGACACTTACTGAGATTTGTGAGTACTAGAAAGAAATCATCTACAGGCTTCTGGAATATTCTAACTGATCAAATTATTGACACTTTAAAATATTTTAATCAATTAAAATCTATTTAAGCAACTCTAACCTTCTTAACTTCTCCATCTTCACTTAAAGCATACACACTGTCCATAATGGCCCTTTTTCAAGGAGACCTAGGTTATAGGGATTCAATCTTAAAACCCCTATCAGGTCACGTAGCTAGGTAACAGATCAGGCATACACTTGATGTTTTTAAAAATAAACACATGCTACATTCTAAAGATAATACCTTCGGTCAGTTTCTCCACATTTCTCTAAATTGTTTAGATAGATAGAGCAAGAATTTCCACTGGGCTCTGGACTCAAACTGCTCCAATTATTTACAAACCCTTACATCAACATCTGGGGTACCTTTACAGTCAACATCTTTTTTATGTCAACATCTGTAACATCAACCTGCATCTTACCAAGAGGTAAAGAGGCCTGCGTCTCCTGCACGCCCCAGAGCACCAGCGTGACTTCAGTGGCTGAACAGTCTGAAAGAAGTCAGTTACAGACAGCAGACTCATGACGCTCTGATCTACCCAAGAGCCCATAAGCACATGTCACCTCCTCACATCACATTCTATTTACAAGACTTACATATCTTCCTTTTTTATTGAGGAAATTAAGGCTCAGACATATGAAGTGACTTTGTCAATTACAAGTTAATAGAAGAGACTAAGTCCATACCAGGTCTGGGCCATTTTAAGAGGAAGAATGAAGGGCAGCCTCTAAGTCATGGATGAGCCTCAGCCAATTCAATGGTAGAAAGTGGAGCCTTCCAAACTCCACTGGAGTGGGGGGAGGTGGTGAGAAAGAGTTGCTTGGGCTGGCCTCTGCTCAGCAGGTGCAATGTGGGGTAGGAGAGACAAAACCTGGCCACATGCCCATGTGTAAATACTTTCTCCCTCCCTCCCGGAGAAAATAAATTCTGTTACTGTTGTTTCTCCTCAGGTGTCTGCATCTGTGTTTGGGTCATGTTCTACAGCCTCCACGTCTACTCAGTTTCAACATCACACTTCAGGGGACTTGCATTTCTGCCATGTTTCCTTTCAACATTTTTATTTAAATATAACTGGATTTGAATTAGATTATTTTATTGTCACTGAGAACAACAACAACAAAAAAAAACCAGAGCACAGGACAAGTGGTGGGAACAAAGATGAAGAAAAAATAAAAACAAGTTGAGGCAGACCTATCTGATCACACCATGGGGGAGAACAAGGGAGGAGGAGCCAGAAGAAGGCAGCTGACAGGCTCACAGGGAAATCAGAGCACAGGAGTGGGGACTTTCTGAGACACTGCGCTCTCCAGCACCCTGTTACCCATGAGTTTCTCTGGAAAACAAAAGCCTTTACTCATTCACCCATTATAAAAACAACAGACATTTTTACTCATGGAACTAATGGAAATCAGTTTCAAAACCCAGAAT